TGCCCAACGGATTGAAGGCGCTCTTATTTTGAAAACATCATATATATTTCGTTTAATTTGTGCTTCAAGTTCAATTTCATCCACCAGCAAATTCCCACTCTGATGTGAATTACACATGATTTCAGGACACAAACGTCTGGAAAGCGTTTTTGTTGCGTAATAAACAAATTTTGATGCATTTTTAGAAACAGGGACTTTTCCAGGACAATCTGTTTAGCGTCTATTCAAAGTGTAAATACAAATTGACGGTCCAAACGCGGAAAAGCAAGTTCCATGTCGCCTACATAATTTAAAATATTTCCCAGGTCGGAAAATTAGGTAATAGAAATAAAGTATATTTTATTCTGTTATGAAGTTACCCTGCTAAAATGCGTTTCTCTCTGTGTTTATCACCGCGTTTATCTCCATGTTTATCACCGCGGTTTGTGTTTTGTTTCTTCTAAAGCTACGATGGCCAAGGAAAAAGAGTGTTTGCGTTTCTCTCTATTCTATACTCAATAATGGGCCGAATTGGGCAGGGGTTCCATTTCATGATGTCATCCCTAATACTACTCTACCACGTCATCCTATCTATTTTTAGCTTGTCGCCCCGATGATGTCATCCTCCTAAAAGAGAAGTTACGTCACCTTACAGTAAACAATGATATCATGAACACCCTTACACCCCTACGCAAACGCCCCTCCACCTCGATGATGTCATCTTTCGGAAAGAGACATGACGTCACTTCCTAGGGGTATTAGTTCCCCAGCACCCCCTACACCCCTACGCATGTGCCCTGGTGCAGAACCCCTACTCTATAACTACTTGTAATTGAAAAAACAGCACATTCTGAAGGAGAATACATCTCCAACAATTTTGTTAGGCCTAAGAAATACGGCTCATATCGACTGATTCTTAACTTGAAATATCTGAATCAATTTGTTCAGTATCATCACTTTAAAGTCGAATGTTTTAAGAGTACCATTACTCTAATGAGTCCCATCTGTTAAATGGCCAGCATTGATTTCAAGGATGCTTACTATTCTGGACAAGAAGAATAGAAAATACCTCAGATTTAAATGGAAGAACCAATTGCTTCAGCTTACCCGTCTACCAAATGGCTTGAATATTGCTCCTAGAATATTTACAAAATTGATGAAACCAGCATACTCCGTTTTATGTTGCAAAGACTTTGGAAATGTGAGACATATAGACGATACATATCTCCAAGGGAGAACTTTTCACGATTTTGAGGTTAATATACAACTGTCAAGCTTTTCAGAGACTTGGGCCTTGCCTTAAATATGAATAAATCAGTTCTCATTCCCACCCAGTGTATTCCTTTTTTGTTTTTTATACTAAACTCAGTTCAGATGTCAATCTCTCTAACATCAACAAAAGCCATGAAAATAAAATCAAAAGCAGTTGAATTGCTCAGCATTCAGTCTTCTAAAATACGGACTGTCTCATAGGCTATTGGTCTTATAGTAACCAGTTTTCCAGGCGTGATGTATGGACCTCTCTATTAAAGACAATTAGAACTAGAAAAGGTGGCTGCTCTAAAACAGAGCAGAGGCAATTTAGGACATGCTCTTATTCATCAACCTAAGTCGTTTTGACCTTACAGCATCAGGCTTTCGTCGACCAGTGCAGCAGCAAAGGCTAAAGTTCCTCTTGACACCATTCTCCGAACTGCAGGTTGGAGAGAACATTGCACGTTTGCAAAGTACTATCAGAAACCAATTCAATTGTTATCATTTGAGTCAGTGAACATTTGGAAACAAATTTTTCCTGTTGTTGCATATCTCGATGCTTGGTGCTCACAAATACTGGCTCTCAACATCTCATGGGATCCCTGCACCAAGTGATGACGAGAGAGAATCAAAAATTAAACGAGGCTTACCTGTAAATTGAAGTCTGATGGTAATTCTATCGAGTCACCACGTGGTGTAAAGGATCACATACCCGCCCTATTTTTGGTGACCCACCCTATTTAATACAGTACTTTTCAGTATTTGTTCGCCTCTTTACAAATTGAATTCTGGGACAGGATTGTGCAATCTCTCATGTAATTCCTCACACCTAGTGATGACTCGATAGAATTGCCATCAACCTTCAACTTACAGGTAAGTCCCGTTTAATTTTCAATTATCACAACTTATGCTATTCATTAACTCTTCTCAAAAACAGTTTTTTTGTCGCGATAGCTCGCCGTCTTTTAACGATTTTAATTTTTTTTTTTCACCAAATTATAATTCAATGTTTTACCTATTTTACCGAAGAGATTTTATGAACCTTGCTTGAAGTTCTGAATTGTTTAGGAAACAAACAGAGAAAACATCAAGAAAGACTACGGCAAAATAAAATGCAAATGAACAGCGATTAATCTTATCAACTCCCGCCAGGGCTTTTGCACAATTCAAGGAGAAAGTAACTCCTTAAGCATCTGCAAGATGTATTTTGCGATCTTTGGAATTTACGCTGTATTGTTAACCAAATTTGTTAGGTTTTAGCTTTGCATTACAACTTGTGTTCTGCAGATGACTGCCTGCAAATTATGGTGAAAATTTCCCCTCAAAAACGCCAAAAGAAGGATTGGAAATCGGTCTGTTCGAGAACGTTCAATTAGGAATTAATTTTACGACAGAAAAGATCAGAGTTTTTAGTAAATTCCACGAGTGGCTGCAGCAGCCACGAGTGGAAATTGGAAAAAGTCCAATTTGTTGTTTCGAGAAAAAAGACCGACTTCTAATAAGGCAACCGTAAATGCAAGCTTTTATCTGAGGTCTTTTTGTTATAGAGGCTCGTTAAAATGAAGCCATGCCTTGATTAAATATTTTAGTTTTGTGATTTTATTTTTTTCTCAACACTTTTCACATATTTTACACCTTTGATTTTATCTATAACATAGAGCTAAAGATACAAGGACGAACTCATTCGATCGGGAAAACTGAGCTTAAACGTGGAAAGACAAGTGAAGTTGAAACGAGTGAACTGAGCTCGGTGTAGAAATCTCCAAGAACTGGCTTCCTCAAGATCTTCAAGCGAGAGATTTTCAGTTTTTTCTTCTCGTTAGCCCACTCCAAGTACGTGCAATGATAAGTTTCGGTCGATCTTGTGGTGTTTTTGTATACTGCTGCTTCTTCATAAGAAGTTTTTTTTTTGTCTGAAACACCAAACCTGAAAGTTTACCCGACTCCCTTGCTCAAATGCGACCGATACAATTAAAATTTAATTGCCTAGCTATCGATACAATTTCGGATAAATCGATCAGCTTCCAATCAATCAGAAGCGAGTATTTACGATAGCGGTATTACTAGTCTGAAAAATGTACTTTAGACGCTTTCCTTCGTATCCGGGAGAGTTGCCATATATAGATAGACGCCGTTTTAGTACAGCGAGATGGATAAAAGCCCATAAATCCCATGTGTCGACAACTCAAGCTCTTGTTAGACAGACTGGACAATGCAAAATTCCCGATCAGTGCAAAAAGGGAGCTTAGTAACTTCCACGGCAATGCTGATGCAATGTCTAACAAAACACTGTGCATTGCATCTTCAAGGATCGGAGCAACCCTCCAGCTAAACATTGAACGAATTTTGGTCATTTTATGCCGTTGTTTACGAAGGTTCATTCATTTATTCATTCATTCAAGGTAGGCTGAGAAATGTACCAAAACTTGCAACGTGAGTGCAGAGCTTCGGCTTTATCACAGACTCACTATACCTCTGAGACGGACGTGTCTCCCACACACTCAGCGTTGAAGGTAGTTAGTCTATATAGAGGCTCGTAGGGATGTGTTCACGCGCGGTCGAGTATTTTGCTATTCTGGTCTGGTCCAATACTAAGTGCAAATTAAGTCCTGAACATTATTGAAAAGCCTGGTTTCAACTACTAGTTTGCTTCTGTTCACGTTTTCTGGTAACAGCATAGATCTTTTGGTATTGGCCGATGTCATTACTCCATACTACAGACCGGGTGAAAAGTTTATAAATTCAGTAATAACCTGAAGAGGACCGAAGAAGGAAAACAAATATCTGCAAGCGTGTTCCTCAATTCGTTAATAAAAATGGACGGCCAAAAAATATAATAAGACATGTAAAACTTCCTTCAATTTCACCACCGTAATAACATATTTCCATTTTTGTAGGTTCAGCAATAAGGGAATGTTTTAGAGTCCATCAAGACAAGGAAGCTTAATTTTCCTCCTTAGAAACATTACAGGGCGGTTTTGGTTTTGTTACTGAAATGTTGTATGGGACACTCAACCAATGGATCAAAGTTTCAAAGAATAGTTTTATAAACACAATTTATTTTTCATTACTGGGATTACATCTCATTAATTTCGGTGTATAAAGCTATTTGCATGTTCCTTTCGAGATGAACATAAGATACAATCATCCTTGTCGCAGAACACGCAATATAAACATCATACCGGTCACTTGTTATTTTCAAAACCTGTTGATTTAGGCCTTTAGATCAAATTTTCAGAAACAAATAACTATTAGGATTGTGATGAATATTCTACATCAACTTCAACAAATAAAATCATTAAAAAATATATTCCTCGCTTATTATCTGAATAATAAGGTAAGTTAGTGTTTTCAGAAATAATTTCGGTAATTTTACAGTATATATAATATCATTCGCTACTCTTTCCTTATTACCTACAAACAGCACCACATTTTCCGTCAATTAAACGTCTCGCATTAATCATTCTGGGGCTCAAGAGTCGAGCAAAGATCTGAACGTGTGCCCTCCAATTACATTCCAAATTATACAGTTGCACGTAGTGAGGCTGAAAATAGTGAAACGAAAGAATGATTTACATTTTCTACAAGAAAAGCAAGCAAACGTTGAAAGAACTAGACTTCTCATGTTTGCAACATGAGAAAGTGGGCCGGCCGCCAATAGTTACAAAACTAAGTTATTTTAGAGGGTAAATAACTGGCATCAACCAATCAGGCTGCTCCTTTGCCGGTCCAATGTTGATCAAGGTTTGGAACGGACACTCACCAATTATCCCATGCGGAGGTGTCTTGCATTTTTTTCAGTATTTGTCTTCGTTTTAGTTTTGCTTTTATGGTTTGCGTTTCAAAGAATTAACTTATAAGTAAGAGAATCCTTTTTCTTCAAACTTTCGTCTTTCGTTTTTTGAAAACATCAGACTTCAGTAAACAGTAAATCTGCTCTCAGCCAAAGTTGGGGGTTTTAAGTCTACGATGCCTTTCTAGCTACTTCCTGATCATGGTAGATTTTCTAAACATTTTCAGTCGCGTAATAATTCTCTTATTATCCCAAGCTTGCTTGGGTCCTTACTGGGAGAAAATAGACCCTTTCTCTTTTTTGTATGGATCGCAGTGCGCTTAGACCGTACTGCTAGACCTCAGGTGGATATTCTCTAAGTGTGGTCCTCGAGCTTGGTGACAAGATACATATATACATTTAATCACCACGTTTTTGATCTGCTATTGATGGATTTCTTAGATGCGGTTTTTAACAGCATCCTTTTTACTCTCTAACTTAACATTACTAATAAGGTAAACATAGTTAGAGTCTTTTACTCCAACGCAGTCTTGCCGAACGCCTTTACTGCCAGGTTTTTCTGCAGGGCACTGTTGGAAGTCTCTCGATATACACTGCTTCGACGATCCATCTTTACTGTAGGTCTGCCCAGCATTTGGTCCCGAGTAACACTCGCCTTAGAAATACAGATATCCGTTAACAGTATAATCGATTTCAAAAAGTGCCTCAGGGGAGAGCATAGAAGTGTTAAAGGATTTTCTTCTTAAGTTACGCTTGTTTTTACATAATTAAATAGTTAAATAAACCAATCACAATCCTTTAAAAATTGCCCAAATAATTTGATTGGCTAACGAGACATCAGCTGACAGCTGTCAATAACAAACCGGACTTCAGCCTAACTTTCGATTTCGAGTAGCTCTCGAGAGAGGAACGATCGTTTGCATTTAGTTAAATTTGTAAATAAGGATCTAAATTATCTTGTCCAGTGGAACCCGGTCGCAATGTGGCTCAAGAAAACGTACATTTTTCCACTGGAATCTGAAAAAAGGGCTTAAGGGCTACGGATGAAAATACGAAATGAAGACCCGAATTTGAAGCGACTAGGAGTATTGCTACCCCTTCCCCCCTGGATGGGATGCTAGTCCATCGCAGGGTTACCCCCAGCTTTAGGTTTAACGGTACTTATTTGAACACCTGGGTTGAGAGAGGCACACTCAGAGTAAAGTGTCTTGCCCAAGAACACAACACAAGGGCTCGAACCCAGACCGCTCGATCCAGAGACTAGTGCAATAACCATGAAGCCACCGTGCCTCCCTTAGAGTGATAATGAGCGTTGTGATTGTTGAGATTCACTTCAAATGATTCACTTCAAATAAGAGATCAAAAATAGGTCAAAGTCTGTCTTGCAGATTTTTTTCCAATTTTGGCTCTGAACGTGATTCACTCCAACAAATCAACTGTGAAAATTTTATCATAGGTTGTACGGTAGGTTTTCCAGCAATACTTGATCAAAGACTAGCTTTTACAACCTTGGACGAGAATTGAATTGCGCATGCCGTTTATTTAAGCGCGCGCTCATGTGACGCCATGTATCGCGTGCGAAAAAGCAAGAGTAAATTAGAGCTCTTTTACCGAGCTTTTTTGTCATATATTTTTGGCCCTAGGAGTTTGAAACCATTGCTACGTATACCGAAGTGATTTAACGCCTTCCAAGTATTGAAGTGGTTTTCGTTTCTTCTTAGGGTTACTTAAGTCATTTTTGCACGCGCGATTAATACTAACGTCTGGCAGGCAAACGTAGCGCGCACTACTGAGTCTCAGAAAAACTGTAGTAAGCCACCTAAATTTGGAGTAAATTCGTCAAAAAAGCCGGAGCAAAAGTGAAAAATTCTCCTTACCGTACTCTGATAAAGCACTGCGCTGATTCAACCAATCCGAGCGTACATGATATCAAAATTGTGTTATAAAAGTCCATAATGTATATCATAACCTCCAACATACCATGATTTTGTACTCCAAAGTACTGGTACCCAAGCTCTTGAGCTCGTTCAGCACATCTACAGAGTACTTCACCAAGGTAGGTATCCAGTTCCCCTAGCTGGGCGTCTTTGCCACTGTATTTGGGTGAACTCTGATTCATGTCCGTAAAGATGAGTTCTGGTATTGGACGGGGAGGAATATTTTTGTCTGCAAAGCATCCGACATTCTCGAACTGCGTGAAGCAAGCCTCCGCTAAAGAAAAAATATTTCAGGTTTCAGTGAATAGTTTAAGAATGGTATATACATTGTTTAAAAAAAATCCGATTGACGTTGTGGACTCGAAAATGGTGTGAATTTTAACGTGAAAACAAAGTCGTAAACAAATTAAGCTCGGTCATTAAATAATTTCTCCATGGGAATCCTGCTTCCAGGCAAATAACAGAGTGAATTACAATACCCAGGAGAAGATGAAGGGTAGAAGAGTTACTCTCCATATATGGGCCTCAAGCTAATTCCTTCCACGTTATTTTTAGATGTGGTACTCAGTGCTTCCGCGGATAATGTTACCCACCAGGTTAAGTAGATGCTTCCGTGAAAGATGAGAATGTTCGAAACGCGTGTTAACGCCGCTTGGCCTGTCCACGTGACCAAAATCTGGCTAACAGGATTGGATATCTCTGCAGTTATGGGATTTCCGTGATTGATTGATTGATTGTTTTGGGAACAAGGCTTACATGAAGGATTAACTGTCTTACCGTTCATCCTCTCTTGGAATATCAACATTTATAATCCATCGAATATTTTCGCTCGGCGCGATTGGTCAAACCGTGTCACATGACCGAATATTTCCCAGCTAAAACTGGGGAATATCAGAGAATACTCCCAAATTTTCAAAACTGCGCGTGTTGCAGAAAATATTTGAAGGATAATAAACACAATAGCCTCCATTTGGCGCAAAAATATGCTCGGATATTTGTCCTTGGACATTATCTGTTCCTCAAACCTCACAGTTTTCCTCGAGCTACGCTCTTGGAAAACTGTTCCCTTTTGGGAACAGATAATGTCCGGGGACATTACTAAGGGCACCAACTATTTCTAAAAGGAATAATGGATATTTACCTTGCTGAATATTGTGATTCTCTTGTATACTGTAGACGAACGTAGTTGTTTTGTTTCCACTGCAAACATTTACGCCCTTTGTATCACATTGAGCAAATTCCTTAGTGATGCAATATTCAGAAGAGCCGTCTTTGCGGTATGTTTTTTCGGAGCCTTCTCCTGACCAACATTCCCCTGCGAATTGAAATGACTAAGAACGTAAGACGACAAGGCAAGGAAATAATTTTCCGGATTCATTACAGACGCTACAACAGTAATAGCTCTTAAGGACGTTCGCGCTAATTGTTTCTGCGCATTCTTACTGCCCACGCAAATTCACACGCCACGTCATGCATCGATGCGCGCGCTAAGTAATAAAATGAACAATGATAGGGCAGATGGCCATTACTATAGCTTTGCCTGGATTTAACGATCTTGGATGTTCGGTGACTCCTATTTTTCTTTTGATGGATCATTTCCTCTGCCGATTTTCTGCGTTTAGCAAAAAACTGAAGAAAATCTATCGATTAGAAGTTTGAAGTTTTTGCAAAATGCACCATCGAATCCTTTTATGTCTTCGTTTATCTGTGCGGCGGTTTCAATGCCTCTTGAAGGGTTAACTTTTGTGAAAACGTTGGCAATATTTGGAATTATTTACGCAACAGACCAACCTCCACAAAATATGACTAAGACCGTTTGCCTCCATTGACTCAACTTCGATATTTTTAACTATAAACCCCTGTAGACCATGCTGAATTACGTGCGCCCAATTTTTTTGCATTTCTGACACAAGTAACTCATTATCTGACCGCAGTAAATATTTTTAAAAAATCTAATCTCCTTAAAATCGTAAATAACTGATCCCAAACTGAACATTCTGTCATTGATCTCAATTATCCGCATTATACTCACCAAAGTTCCCAATTCCAAATAAGTTAAATCCTTTTGCCTTTGAAACCTGAGCACATCGACAAACTACATCATCTAAGTAAGCATCCCAGCTTCCCCAATCCACGGGGAAGCCGCTGTACTGAGCTGTACTGTTGTCGAGATCAGTGAACATCAGTTGAGGTAATGGTCTTAAACCAGCTTGTAAATCATTAAAACAACCTTTCTTACTGAAGTCAACAGGACAGTCCTCTGCAGAAACCAAAAAAATTCATAACCAGCTAAATTATTATATCAGAGCCAAGACTGATGTAAAGTGCAAAAAGATGCAGTTTGGTTGTGAACGTTATTTTTTACTTTCAATATTCAATAAAATCACGTATAAATTCAGAAAAGTGTACTAGCGCAAGAGAAATGTGATAGAATTATAAAGTGACTTCAGGCTTACCAATAACCTCACCCGTTACTAATTTGACTTTAGGTTCTGTTATGGTAGGAACTGGTGATGGTTCTATCTGTGCCCCTAAGTGATCAAATAGAAAGTGAATTGTGCCTTCATANATTATATCAGAGCCAAGACTGATGTAAAGTGCAAAAAGATGCAGTTTGGTTGTGAACGTTATTTTTTACTTTCAATATTCAATAAAATCACGTATAAATTCAGAAAAGTGTACTAGCGCAAGAGAAATGTGATAGAATTATAAAGTGACTTCAGGCTTACCAATAACCTCACCCGTTACTAATTTGACTTTAGGTTCTGTTTTGGTAGGAACTGGTGATGGTTCTATCTGTTCCCCTAAGTGATCAAATAGAAAGTGAATTGTGCCTTCATAAATGAAGCAAAACATAAAATTGCTGATGACAAAATTACAGCCCATCCAAAGAACATTGTAAGCCGCCAATACTCGAATGGTGGTGACAAAAGGGATAGCAACAGCAACTCGATTTTCAGGGAGCTGAGGCGATTGAATGTGACATATCTAACACTCAGAAACTAGTCCCCCAAGAATCTGCTAAAGGCTAAGGGTCTTGTAGTCAGCAGATAAAGCTGTATGAGTTGTCAATATCTGGTATCACTCGCAGTTCCCTCCAAGCCTCCCTGACTAACTATTCAGAAGCGACATAAATAGTACACTTATTGCAGCACGTCATTTGAATTCTGCCCAGGCACATACCACAGTTTGCATCGTTCAATAACGTGCATCATTGATGGGCAGTGCTAAAGGTGTTATTGCAAACATTATACGGCATCAATTGCAATCAATGAAAATCACGACAACCAGGCTCTGATTGATAATATTCTGTTGACAGTCTTAGTAATTTTTAGC